GATGGGTAACATTTGAATTTTTCTTCAGCGTTTTCCTCATCTCAATGTCTTGGGCTAAAAGTGGATCATTGTCCCATTTTGTTTAAAAATAATATCCTTAACTCGTGAATTTCTAATATTTTTTCTTTGATAAATTTGAAAAATTGACTACAACTCCCACCTTTTCCATCTCTTTTGACTTAGCTACCTGCCACCGCTTACTATCATTGGGTAAACATTTTTTCAGTCCACATATCGTGCTTGGAACTCGATAGTATGAGTTTCCTAGTATCAATCAGTTTAGTAAATGCTGATGAAATTCGTTGATTTTTCTTAACCTTTTGGTTTAAGTTATTGGTAGATATCACTGCTGTCTGGATATCATGTCATTCTGCATCACTTTGACGATTGAATAGCTGGTTCTCTAGTTGTTCCTAAAGTATCTTATTAAAATTTTTGTCGTTAAGTTGAGCTCTGAGGAGTCTTCTAGACGTGGCTTTTCTGTATTCAGTAGTATGCAAACGCGTCCTCGTACTGATGAATGATTAGGATCTACATGTACATACTAAGTATGGAGGCTATTGATAATACTCAGTTGCTCAAATTGAAGTAGGCGGGGTGTGGATGCATAAATTATTGGCTCAAAATCGAACACACCACTGGGCTACATGCAGTGTGGCTCACTTTTCGAGTATCAGGAGACTCAGCTACTGGTGTAAGCAAAGCATTAACCTTGAAAGCAGAACAAACATCCATGAAATGAATTCAAGTAACTAGTCACTTTTTTCTGTTCGTTTAAATGGAACAATGAAGACTTGTAGGCCGTTGCTTTTCGTATTTTTTGACTACGCTACACTAACTGCAGTACGATTGAAGTAAAATGAGTTTTACAAAAATCTTTCGGACCTCCCACCTCCCTAAACGTAAGGCAAGACATTGTGCAGCCTAGCTATCCACAACATCGAAACAGCAGCTTCTACAAATAAACCGTATATTTATCACCCACCACTCAAGATCCTTTGGATCTCCTATAGATTTCTAGTTCGAGTACACATTTCCATAGGTTTTATTTGGTTCAGTAAAGTCAACAAGAATCTCTAGAGTTCAAATTACAAATCCACTCAGCTTATCGTAAACACTCATCTGAACTGGTTAAGTGATATTCACTAAGACTGCCCACTTTTACCCAGACAGAAAGAGTTCTTCGTCTAAATGTTAAGGGGTTTATGTCTTGCCATAAGATTCAGGGATCGGTGACATAGTACATTTGTCGACGTAGCTGACGATACTAGTCTATTAAGGGCCTAGAGTAACTGCAAGGATGTTTGGATCCAGAAAACTAACTTAGCTTTTGTGAATAGTCAATATTTGTGGTGTAGGTGAGGTAACCGCAAGAGTAGAAAATATGAGACAATTTTACGACACAACAAAGAAACTCTGGAAATTACCGTAAATCAGAACGATCAGTGAAAAGCAAGGAAGGCAAAGTAATCACCTACATCGAAGGACAACGAAACAGGTGGGTAGAACACTTCAAAGAACTCTTGAATCGACCAACTCCACTGAAGCCACCCAACATCGAAGCAGCACCCACGGACTTCCCAATCGATGTTGGCCTACCAACAATTGAAGAAATCAGCATGGTCATCAGACAAATCAAGAGTGGCAAAGCAGCAGGATCAGAAAACATTCCGGCAGAGCCACTGAAAGCAGACGAAGCGGTAACTGCAATGATACTCCACATTCTCTTCAATAAGATTTGGGATGAGGAACAAGTACCAAAAGACTGGAAAGAAGGACTTCTGATCAAAAGACCGAAGAAAGGTGATCTCAGCAACTGTGATAACTACAGGGGCATCACTCTTCTCTCAATACCGGGAAAAGTCTTCAACAGAGTATTGTTAAACAGAATGAAGGACTGCGTAGACGCCCAACTTCGTGACCAAAAGGCAGGATTCCTTAAGGATAGATCGTGTACAGACCAAATCGCATCACTACGGATCATTGTGGAACAATCAATTGAATGGAATTCATCACTCCACACCAACTTCATTAGCTATGAGAAAGCATTTAATAGGATGGATAGGACAACACTATGGAGACTTATTCAACACTACCGCGTGCCTGGGAAGATAGTCAATATCATACGGAATTCCTATGATGGATTAAACTGCAAAATTGTGCATGGGGGACAATTGACAGACTCGTCCGAAGTAAAGGCCGGTGTCAGGCAAGGTTGCTTACTCTCACCCTTTCTCTTTCTCCTGGTGATCGACTGGATCACAAAGGCGTCAACATCTGAAGGGAAACACGGGATACAGTGAACATCTAGGATGCAGTTGGACGATCTAGACTTCGCAGATGATCTGGCCCTTCTATTCCAATCGCAACAACAAATGCAGGAGAAGACGACCAGTGTAGCAGCAGCCTCAGCAGCAGTAGGTCTCAATATACCCAAAGGGAAAAGCAAGGTTCTCCGATACAACACAGCATGCACCAATCCAATCAAAATTGACGGAGACGATTTGGAAGATGTAAAAACCTTTACATAACTGGGCAGCATCATTGATGAACACGGTGGATCTGATGCAAATGTGAAGGCGCGGATCGGCAAAGCAACAGCAGCATATTTACAACTGAAGAACATCTGGAACTCAAAACAACTGTCAACCAACACAAAGGTCAGGATTTTCAATACAAATGTTAAGACAGTTCTACTGTATGGGGCGGAAACCTGGAGAACTACGAAAGCCATCATCCAGAAAAGACAGGTGTTTATTAACAGTTGTCTATGCGAAATACTTCGGATCCGTTGGCCGGACACTATTAGCAACAACCAACTGTGGGAAAGAACAAAGCAGATCCGAGTGGAGAAAGGAGCGCTGGAAGTGGATAAGACACACATTGAGGAAAGCACCCAACTGCGTCACAAGACAATCCTTCACATGGAATCCTCAAGGCCAGAGGAAAAGAGGAAGACCAAAGAACACATTACGCCGTGAAATGGAAATAGACATGAGAAAAATGAACGAGAATTGGATGGAATTAGAAAAGAAGGTCCAGGGCAGAGTGGGTTGGAGAATGCTGGTCGGTGGCCTATGTTCCTTTAAGAGTAACAGGTGTAAGTATGTAAGGCGAGGTAACTCTCCGCCAACCGCGCAGGGAGTATAGATTTTTTGGAATGCACTTCATATTACTCCGACACTCTAAAATTGTGATTTTTTTCTTGATTAGCGGTATTTATCACATGTTCTTTCAAAGCATTAATCAGATATGATAGAAAAATGAAATAAACAATACTGAGGTCAATTACAGGTTACTTGATAAATATGACAATAGTTTACAAGGTTGTTTATCTCATTCAATGGGCTGACCGGAACACGTGTTACATATTCTTAACCACCAACCACTTCAGTTTTCAATATTATTTTAGATAGGAGTGGACTAGAAGAAAGCTAGGATGATCAGACTTAAATGTGACTTCGGTCTCACAGGGTCAAATGCATTTATTTCTTACTTCCTCCTACATCCCGAGTTCCAGTATTACTCCGTGCTGTCCGTTTCCTAACTCCATTCCTTCCCGAAATATGCTCTGTACATTTTGTCTTACTGTTGCTCTAACTCCTTGGTTATTCATCTCGTTTACATTTATGTCATGTCCTAGGTTGATTACAACCGAAGGATATAATTCGGGGGATTCATTGTATACTGCTTGGTTCTTATTAGTACCTTACAAACTGCCAAATTTATATATACAACTGCAGTGGAGTTTTGAATCGCTTCAGTTTATTGAAACAAAGCCTGTTGGTGATCATAGGTCGTATGAGACGATTATGAAATCTAAGGCTCTTCAAAAATAAATAAGATCATTATGTTACAATGTTGTATCAGTTGTGTATGCCCTGGTACGACCGATAGTGGGCAGAGTCCGCTCACCCTCTGGAAGTGCTCTCACATGCCCAAGCGCATATAGCCTCTGCCAGGGAAGTACTACTCACTGCCTTCTCGTGGCTGGGGTGTTGTTTACGAAGTTAAAAGGACGAAAAGCGAATGTCCGGCGCTTTAACCGGGTTGATGGACACGGAGTGTTCACCTAGGTGAGTTGGAAAACCCTGATTCTAAACCAATGGTGCACATGGGCTCCAGTATCCTGAGTGAACAAATGGCGTATGAACCAATCGTTGGTCACCGGCTACCATGGTACTGCATCTCCTTACAATGCGCCACTGCCTTGTGAATCAGACCTGTAGGTCGAAGGCTCCGGTGTGGCCCCCCAAGAAAACCACCTACTTTGGTTTGGGCACTCCAGCAGTACCACAGCCCTCGCACAAATCAAATGAGATTTGTGTGGCGTATATGTATTCGGTGCCTCCTTGTACCAATATGTTCAAATAAAAAAAAGTATGCTATCTAATTTACGTATTTAGTGTCACGTTGTTTCTGAGATATTTCTCCAAAATGTTCATATCGTTTTGCTATCAGGAAATACTATATCTTGGGGCAATATTTTCCGCTTGTTTGTAATATAAAACTACCTTTTTCCATTAAATCCCCAAATGTAATAAACCCTGGGTAATATGATTTCTAACTCGCCTGTAAATATACGAAAATATCAGTAATGCTAACAGTAGAGCAGCTCAGTAGTTACTTTTATTTTTTAAGTATCAGGTCATATCTAAACCAGAATACTTAGAAATAATTTATAATATACTTAACCCCTGGCATAAATATTCTTTATGCCTTTTCGATCACACAACTGATGTACATTAATCGCATGAAGGTCCTCTAATTTCACTCCTCTTGTCTACCACAAGCTTATGTTCAGTTGTATTGTATTGATACGAAATTTTGTACGTACGTTTTTTCTAAATTTAAGATCACATATCTTTGAATATATGGTTTTAACTGTGAATACAAGCATCGCCACTCCACGAAGGCGTTAAACGTTTATAAACGTGAAAAGAAACATACTTTTGATCATGCACTTAAGATACGAAAATAATTTTTGAATTATTATTTAGGTCAGCGTCCAAACAGGTCTACAAATCAGTGTTCGAGTTGGCCATCATTTTGGGCATCAAACATTTCAGACGCAACTTCAGAAAAACATAGTGCATCTGCGTCCAGAAAATCAGCCATTGTAGCGGATTCAAAACAATTTTCGGGGATTTCGGATTCTAGTTCAGAAAATAGGGTTGGAATAAACCTTTCAGAATTAGAAGGACACAAATCATCAGAATGTGTGATAAAACCAACATCAAAAGAATCACTTCCAAAATGTCAAAACGAACAAACTTTGGACAGCCAAAGTGAGCCAAAACATAACGACCAAAGTTCAACTCAAGGCAACCCTTTTCGAACTAAAAAGGGGAATTATTTCTCTGCCCGTCCATCTGCTTCTGTCAATCAAACGCGAAAACATCCAATAGTACCAGCTGGAGGAAGACGGGATTCAGATGCAAATATGCAGAATTATACTTCATCCAGTCAGGTTGATGACCAAGAAAATGAATTTAGTCATGAACGATACAACAACTTTTCGAAGTCTGGGATTCGTGGTCGTGATAACCGACGTGGTACCGTCTCCAATCATGAGGTACTTCATAATTCGTCTCGCGATTCCTATAAGTAAGTATTGTCATATCCACTTGTTTCATATTCTTTACTACATATAAATGTCATGTATTTTCTTCAGCGTCAATTCGTAACGCCTTCTAGTTTCTTTTTATCCTGATTTCATTTGGGGCTATGATAGTTTTTTACAATTATATTTTAATTACAATTATCTGTTTTAGATTCTCTTTCGTAAAGCAATCAAATTGTTAAATCAACAAAGATATGTGTATCTTCATTTTTATTTGGTACTTCCAGCTCATTTTGATGTAGGTAAAAATGTATAATAGATTAACCATGTGTTTTCTGGGTTATATAAATGGTGATAATTCCAGTGTATAAAAAAGGTCAAGAGATCTTTTTAATGACCATAAAATGATTATTTTGTCTAATATTGTCCTGAGGCTTTTGATCAACCAGCTTAAACTGATTTTATAGTTTATTTTGCTTATTGGTTTCTTTTCAAACATTCCTTAAAACTGTTTAACCATTCTAGGGATAGGTTCAGTCACAGAAATTGAAATTTGGTATTTAGAATCTTATGTTTCTTATATACATACTATGTTACGTAATGTCTTTAACAAGAATAAAAGGTTTTACAACTTCTATACTTACTTACGCCTGTTACCCCTCAGGAAGGATCGTAGGCCACCCACCAGCACTCTGCATCTAACCACGTCCTGGACAATCCTTTCTAGTTGCTGTTCATCCTTTTCATGTCTACTTCTGATCACCGACGTAGTGTGTTCTTCGGCCTTTCACTTCTCCGTTTCCCTTCAGGATTCCAAGTTAGGGCTTGCCTTGCGGTGCAGTTTGGTGATTTTCACAATGTATATCCTGTCCACTTCCAATGTCTTTGCCTTATCTCCTCTCCAGCTGGAAGCTGGTTTCTTTTCTCACATAGTAGGCTGTTACTGATGGTATCCGGCCAACGGACATTCAGTATCTTACGTAGACAATTGTTTATAAATACTTCTACCTTTTTGATGATGGTTGTGGTAGTTCTCCAAGTTTCAGCTCCATACAGTAGGACTTTCTTGACGTTCGTATTGAAGATTCTGACTTTGATATTGGTTGACAGTTGTCTTGAGTTCCATATGTACTTCAGTTGTAGGAATGCGGGCCTTGCTTTGCCAATCCTCGCCTTTACTTCTGCACCAGATCCTCCTCGTCCGTGAAAGATTCCACATCTTCCAGAGCTTCTCCATCAAGTGTGATTGGGTTGATGCTCTTCGTATTGTATTTGAGGATCTTGCTTTTTCCTTTGTGTATGTTGAGGCCTACTGATGCAGAGGCGGCTGCTACACTAGTTGGCTTCATCTGCATTTGCTCGTGTGTATGGGATAGAAGTGCCAGGTTATCTGCGAAGTTCGAATCTTCTAATTGGTTCTGAGCTGTCCATTGTGTGCCGTGTTTCCCCTCAGATGTCGAGGTTTTTATAATCCAGTCGATCATCAAAAGGAAGAGAAACGGAAAAAGTAATCAGCGTTGTCTGACTTTCGTCCTTGCTTGGAATGAATCTGTTAGCTGTCCTCCATGCAGCACTTTGCACTGTAATACGTCGTATAAACTCCGTATGATATTGACGATTTTCTCAGGTACACCATAGTGTTGAAGTTTCCATAAGGTTCTCCTCTCCACACTGTCAAACGCCTTCTCATAGTCAATGAAGTTGATGTATAATTACGAGTTCCACTCAACCGATTGTTCGACGATGATTCGTAGCGTGGCAATGTGGTCTGTGCACAACCGATCCTTACGGAATCCAGCCTGTTGATCTCGACGTTGGGCGTTTATTGAGTTTTTTATACGTTTTAGCAACACTCTGTTAAAGACTTTCCCTGGTACTGACACCAGTGTGGTGCCTCTGTAGTTCTCACATTTGCTCAGATCTCTTTTCTTTGGAATCTTGATGAGGTATCCTTGTTCCCAGTCCATCGGAACTTGTTCTTCCCCCCCCCCCAAATCTTCCTGAATAGAACGTGGCGCATGTTTGAAGTTACTCCAATATCTGACTTTAGCTAATACATTGTCAGGTCCTGTGGCTTTCCCGCTCTAGATTTGTCTGATGGCCATCCTGATTTCTCCGGTTGTTGGTGCAGTGACATCTATATGAAGGTCTGTGTGTGCTGCTTCGATGGAGCTGGTCTATTCAACAGTTTCTTGAAGTATTCCACCCGTCTGTTCCTCTGTTCTTGAATCTCGGTGATTGTCTTGCCTTCTTTGTCTTTGACCGGTCTCTCTGGCTTATCATATTTCTCTGTTAGTTCCTTCGTTGTGTCATATAGCTGTCTCATATTTCCTTCTTTTGCAGCTTTCCCCGCTGTCATTGCTAGCTCTTCCACGTATTTCTGCTTGGAAAGCAGTGAGTACGCCTTCTATGACAGGGGCTTTGGACGCATGGTTATATGAGAATACTTCGAGAGGAAGAGAGAAATTCTCGTATCAGTGCATTTGGAAGTAGCTAAAAGTAGTGTAAACCAAACCGAAATGACAAATATTTTGACAAAAACAAATACCACCAGAAACTATCTATATCATAGTAGAACTAACAAAAAACCACTAAACAAACTGGCATCGATTTGTCCAGTGTCTCTAAGAATCACTGGTCACCTAATAACTTTCGGTGTCTAACCAAAAAAACAACAGTTCCTGAAAACCTACTAATTTGTGGTCAATTTGTCACTCACTGACACCAGATATGGAACCAATACAAAGCAGGAAGAGTTGAAATTTGTTCTATGCTAGTTTGAAAAACGGCGAAACTGTACGGATTTGAACTTAAGAAGTTCAGCTCTCGTGGGAAACTAATATATGAAACACTGAAATATAACTTAATGGCTTAATTAAACCGTTTTTTGCTGAGACCAAAAGATCATTGATTATATACTAAATGAATTCTAAAATAGGAAGAAGTACTTAGGCTATATTCCTTGATATTCAAAAGTCATTATTTCAGTCTGTGTGTGGCGCATATATATTGGCGCTCTCTTGTACCAATATTCATGTGTCCAAATAATAATAAATATTTCAGTCTGTGATAAAACCATCTTCACGTTGAGCAAATTTCCATGATAAAAATTCTTTAACTATTACGAGAAAGTATACGGAAAATAATAAAGTAATGACAAGAATAGAAATAATAAAAGCCGTAATCCAAATGACAACACAAACACAGTACGTTAAATTTCTGGCATAGTAAATATTACACATCATATGTGTAATTGACAGTTACTTAGATTTTGAGTTACGACTGATAGTTATAGCAGCTCGCTTGCTAGGTCTAAGACAAGAAAGAGCCAACTATCACAATTACTAACTTAGAACGACCACATCACAAACTGACAACAAAAAATAAAGTATTTCCAATACAAACAACTCTAAACTGACATTACTGAATCTCTGGTTCGGAGAATAAATAACCTGAATACAGTGAATAAACCATAGCATCTTTATTCCAATTCTTTAACATTAAAACGTCAGTCTCTGATGGACTCAATCGCTTTATCAAATGAAATACAAACAAGGAAAGTATGGCTCAAAGTAAACGAACCTCACTAGTGGGGCCAACTGGAGTCCATGAAACAATAGTCTAAATGTCCATGCTCGATAGCTACGTGGAGGATCAACTCGAACTTTATAGTCAATGAAATACCACGCAAGACTGAAACTGGACATCAAGAGAGCGGGAACAACCATGAAAATCATTGTTAAACTAGACCAGTAGTAATCTTCCTATATTAATAATTAAAAAACAAAAATTAGATCGAACGTTTATAGAAAATATCTTGTAAATAAATTTTTGAACAAAAGGTTATTTTATATGAATGACTCAGATTCTGATAAAAGGCGCTTCATTATTTAGAAGTTAAAGAAACACTACCAAACGCTATAAATATGAGTATAACATCTGGTAAACTACTAGTAAATTTATGTTCACCAAAAATCTATATCCATACTTTCGCTGATAAGTTTAAAAATACTATTGAATTTGCGTTCACTCATCGAAATAGAATCAATAAAATTGACAACTGACGTCTGTGAAATCCCTGGTCAAAAACCAACCTGTAAGTCAAGTTTGTTTGTAACTGAAACATCAGATATCTCGTTAATCCAAGGAAAAAGCACAACTTATCTCTCCAAAGAAATGTTGATACGTATCAAAGTTTAAAAAGGACCCTTTGTTAACATGAATCACTATAATTAGCACACATAATTCCCTTTCGATTGAAAAGCCACATTGAACTCAGAGTCCCCTAGTGGAAATATTTTAACTCTAATAGGGCTCAGACATCAACCTGGTCGTGTAAAAATGTCTTAAATAAGAAGCAACACTTCAAATGACCTGTAAACCCGGGTACTGAAAATAAGGCTTATCTACGGCAGGTTTATATGGGCTGTCAATAAAAGAGACCTTCCCGTGGTTATAATTGCTATTTAGTAGAAAAAATAAGTGGTTGACTAATTAAAGTTGTAGCGAACGATCACTGCTAACCGTTTGCAAGGTCAAAATATGCAAAGCTTTCAAGCGTCTTCATGTTTATGTCAATTTGGTTATGCGAGGATTGAAGTTAATCACCCAGATTACTTACAACCTTAGAGCATTCGAATTTATAGGAAACACTAAGACGTTTTTGGCCAAATGTATCAATCAGTCATTCTAAACTGTATCCACAGAGTCTACAAACAAGTTATGTTCTGTACTCTAATTTTCCAAGTTTCTACGATATTTTTAATCACACAGTCGATTTTTGATTGCTTACCATGGTCGAGTAATAGAAAAAATTACTTTGCGTAACATTTATGAATATATATATATATATATATAAATATAAATCAAGATAAAATTTTATGCAATATCTATTCTCTGGTTACCGATATTTTTAAGGTAAACTCACTAGTTTGAGCCTAGCAATCAATTAATAATGAAAAGTCAGCGTGTGGAGATGAAGTTATCAGTAACAATGTTTGTTCTTGCTCTATTCAAATTCATAAAGGGAACCAATTGCATGAAATATCAGTAACAAGTTCAACAGGCAAAAAATCTGGGTAGTAATTCAAAATGACTCACAAACTGTTTAACCTACGAGATTATTATTTTCTTTTAAATTACATACGCCTGTTACCCCTCAGGAAGAAGCATAGGCCACCCACCAGCACTCTGCATCTAACCACGTCCTGGACAATCCTTTCTAGTTGCTGTTCATCCTTTTCATGTCTACTTCTGATCACCGACGTAGTGTGTTCTTCGGCCTTTCACTTCTCCGTTTCCCTTCAGGATTCCAAGTTAGGGCTTGCCTTGCGGTGCAGTTTGGTGATTTTCACAATGTATATCCTGTCCACTTCCAATGTCTTTGCCTTATCTCCTCTCCAGCTGGAAGCTGGTTTCTTTTCTCACATAGTAGGCTGTTACTGATGGTATCCGGCCAACGGACATTCAGTATCTTACGTAGACAACTGTTTATAAATACTTGTACCTTTTTGATGATGGTTGTGGTAGTTCTCCAAGTTTCAGCTCCATACAGTAGGACTTTCTTGACGTTCGCATTGCAGATTCTGACTTTGATATTGGTTGACAGTTGTCTTGAGTTCCATATGTACTTCAGTTGTAGGAATGCGGGCCTTGCTTTGCCAATCCTCGCCTTTACTTCTGCACCAGATCCTCCTCGTCCGTGAAAGATTCCATATCTTCCAGAGCTTCTCCATCAAGTGTGATTGGGTTGATGCTCTTCGTATTGTATTTGAGGATCTTGCTTTTTCCTTTGTGTATGTTGAGGCCTACTGATGCAGAGGCGGCTGCTACACTAGTTGGCTTCATCTGCATTTGCTCGTGTGTATGGGATAGAAGTGCCAGGTTATCTGCGAAGTTCGAATCTTCTAATTGGTTCTGAGCTGTCCATTGTGTGCCGTGTTTCCCCTCAGATGTCGAGGTTTTTATAATCCAGTCGATCATCAAAAGGAAGAGAAACGGAAAAAGTAATCAGCGTTGTCTGACTTTCGTCCTTGCTTGGAATGAATCTGTTAGCTGTCCTCCATGCAGCACTTTGCACTGTAATACGTCGTATAAACTCCGTATGATATTGACGATTTTCTCAGGTACACCATAGTGTTGAAGTTTCCATAAGGTTCTCCTCTCCACACTGTCAAACGCCTTCTCATAGTCAATGAAGTTAATGTATAACGACGAGTCCTTATTTCTACAGCTATTTGATTTGTACTACCAGTCTTCTATATTGTGTAGACATTCCTTGTACCTGATCAGACTTCCAAGATAAACTATGTTGTCGACGCGTTCGACCACCTCAGTCCATATCCTTAGTTCAGGTGTTGACGCTGGCCAGTTCTGAAGTAATGATTTGCATTTAGAGAGGTAGGGACGCATCGTAAACGTGATAGCATTGTTGCTTGAGGTGGTTGAAAGACTGTGTTTTATTCCCATCTTCACCAAAGAGGACTATATCATCTGCGTATTCTAAGTCGACAAGTGAACCTCCTGGAAAGAGATCAATGTCCGATAATTCAGTCGACGAGAATGTTATTTCCATCAGTAGGTTTATGATGAAGTCGGACGAAAATGGAGAAGGTGGACAGCCTTGACGGACACCACTTGAGGTTGCGAAAGCAGATCACAGTTCGCCGTAATCTCCGACTCGACTGGTAGTGTTCGAGTAAAGAGCCTTCATAAAATTAATGTACTTCTGAGGTGCGCCTTTCAATGACAGACGCTGCCACAGAATCTCGCGATCTACGGAGTCAAATGCTGCTTTTAAGTCAAGAAAGACCAGCATCGTCGGACGCCGATAAGTATGCCTGTGTTCTAGAACCTGACGAATGGTGAATATGTGGTCGATACAGCCACGAGCATTTCTAAAGCCAGCCTGATTTTCTCGTGTTTGCAGTTCACGAGTCTTAGTTAGGCGCTCGATAATTATTGAGTAAGGGCATACAACCACCTTTCTCCATTGTTCCATTCAAGAAGTGGGCTTAGACGGGGTTGCCCGACCCCACCATTCCACTTCAACGTTGCTATCGATGACGTTCTAGAAACAACTCTGATGGATGTAAGTAGTGGCGATGTGAATCTGTTGTCTGGAGAAAGAATTTTCGTCCTTGATTATGCAGATGATATTGTCTTATTGTGCGATGATATCCAAGCCATACAATCCTCACTTAGTCAGCTCCCTTAGGAACTGTGTGTGCTTTGCACCTTCGAATTGCAAAGTACTTTTACAAGACTGACAGGACCCTGATCCTACACTCACCCTGGATGCTGAGCAGATAGAAGTAGTCGAGAAGCTTGTGTATCTGGGTAGCTACACAAGTGCTAGTGGTGGCGTGAGTGATGAGATCAATACACGTATAGTGAAAGCCATAGCAATGAGACCAGTTTTGCACTATGCTTGTGAAACCTAGCCTTTTCGATTTGAGGATGTTAGACAACTCTGTGTCTGATCATCGTTGTGTTCGAAGGATTGCTGACATCGAGTGGCATCACGATGTTAGTAATGCAGAGGTTCGGCATCGTGTGTTCAGGCACAGCGACGATAACCCAATTGGTGTCACCATCTTGAAACATCGACTTCGGCGGTTTAGACATGCACTACTAATGTTGCCCTAGGGAATTTTACATCGTGCATTTTTTGGTGTATCGGGGACTGATTGGGAAAAGCGGAGAGGTTGTCAATTTATGATACGATGTCGTGGTGTGAAATAAAATTGCAAAGGTCTGGCTTCTGTTGGTCCTTCACGACTCCCTGGCTGGGGTCCGAGAGATGGTGCGACACAGTGGCTAGAAACGTTATCAGAAATGGATCAGAATAAAAGCCAATGGCGAGCTTGGTGTAACTTTGTTTTACTTCACACAAATGAACCTAACTTTGTCTGAATAATTCTTCCTGATTTTATTCTTAACGTCACTGTTTCTCCCGTTATGATTTTTATTCTCACTATTATTTTTTTTTCACACTAACACATTGTTCTCCTTTTCGTTGTACGCACTTCACATTATCTAGCTCTTCACGACATCATCTTTCTTATGTGGCGCATATGTATTTTGTACTTCATTGTATCAACGTTTATTAATTTAAAGAAACATAAATAAAGTGTGGTTCTATTCACTTTAATCATATCTAAGTATTATTCTTCAATCTTTTTCTGTGCATAATAATATCACTGTATGATATACTTTTTAGCATTTGATTAATTAGCAACCTCAAAATTTAAGAATGGTAGCCGAAATTTGTGGTGTATGTCCTGATCAGTAACTAGTTAGTTTTATAATATACTTACGAAAATTCGTGTAATTAAAGCCAATTAAAATACAATATTTCACTCATGACAGATAATTTCATTGCCAAATATGTTACATCAATAATTTATTTATGAAATTTCAATTCTTGATCTAATAGGGGATCTCAACAGAGCTCCAGAGAGACTGTTAACCGTGGTTATGACTATCGAGGAGAAGGAGAGTCCGTCAGAAGTGACTATTATTCTGACCAACAAAATTCGAATGCTCGGTTTTCTGGTGCTTCTCGAAATTCGTGTTTGTCAAGCAAAGGTCGAGTAAATTCAGTGAGCACCACCAGTTATCGCCGTCCTGGTAATTACGCTTCTCGTGGCCGTGGTTCTGGTTACTAAGTGGTAATTATTTTTTGTTTGTACATATTAAGTTTTCTTACTAACTGCGTTTCTTAAAACATTTCATGAGAGCTCTCACACATTGGTTTAAGATATAGTCATAATAATCACACGCTAACCAATAATTGTGACATGAAATTTACGACCTCTATTTGAATATCTTTTGTATAACCAACATGTTGATGGTTACCGCCAGCAAAGATCGAGACATTGATGTTTTTCAATTATTGATTTGCGGCGTATAAAATTTTGATGTAACTCAAAGTTTTTTTGAATAATCTAACCCCTTGTGTTTGTTCTTCCTTTCAGTATCTTCACAAATAATTTATTTTATTGAAATCTTCTGCAGATAAATATTAAAAACAACCTGTTTTATTGATGAAATTACTTATATACCCTTTTTATCAAATAAAATTTTCTTTGTATTTTGATCCATTGCTGGCTGGTCTGTTGAAATCACTTAACGAAGAATAGGATACATCAATTACATCCCATCCATAAATATGTTTGATTGAAAGATAACTGTGTAAGGCAAATTCCGTATTACAAATTATGATATCGAAAATTAGTAAACAAGAAATTATCAGCCATGTACTAGTTTCATAACCAGAATCTTAAAGGTTATTGGGTCGTATATATTGCAAATTATCGAGTTGAAGCTTTTCTAAGATTATAGCGCATTTGCGTTGTAGATATTAATTCTCTAATATGTGTAGTGCAAACAAAAAACATTACTACATCCGAACGCTCATCACAAAATATACATAGCTTAAAAAAAATGATAACCTGTATGTTATGGTTCGTTATTCTTAAAGGCTCAATGATTCAGCGACTCGATAGCTATTCTGGTTCGTTGTCCCCGACCCTGCTAACTCGATCAAGAAGTTTGGGTAAAGTGTAGAAAGTGTATTCTACAGACAAACAGCAGATAACAAGTCAGGTCAAGCACACAATCAAGTGTATTTATGCAAATATTCACAATTGATGTTGTCATTGAAAATTTTTAAACATTAATCAATGAGTTCATTAACTGACCGCTATTTAACATTTAATCGATAGGTTCATCAACTGACTTATTTGCACATCCAATCGATAGGTTCACCAACTGACTACCATTCAAACATTTAATCGATCAGTTCATCAATTGACCCCAATACGAATATATAAACATTTAATCGATAAGTTGATCGGTAATATAAAGTTTAAAAATATGAGTTTGGGGATCTATCGTCCCCAACACTCCTCCCCTTTTTAATAGCGGGCTTTCCTGGGGTCAACCTGCATCTTGATTGTAGCTCGCCGTTCTCGGATAGGCCACCGTCTGGGACGTGTTTCAGCTTGTTGTCGAGGTTTTTCTTGTGGTGGGGTTGCCGGTAAGTTGAATGTGTCTAGCAGGATGTCAAGAGGAATATTTGCTTCGGTTGATGGGCGGTCTGGGGCTAACCGTTTGCGTAACTGATTCCGATGGCGTTGCCATCTGCCACTGCCTTCCTCAACTTCGTACATGACTTGGCCAACTCTCCTGACCACTCGCGCTTCCGTCCATGGACCATGGGTTGGTCCGTAATCACGGGCAAACACAGACATCCCACTTCGTACGTGGATCGCTTTTCAAACTTTGTCCGTACTGGTGTCGGTGCATTACTTGGATGCATCAGGTTGTGGATCGTCTTCAGTCTTCTTCCCATTAGGATCTCCGCTGGGGACTTTCGCTCCGGCAACGTCTCATTTGGTGTTGTTCGGTACACATATAAGAAATTTCGCAACGCGTCCGCTGGCGTCCTCTCCCCTTTTGTCTTAGCCAAGGCTCCTTTAAACGTATCCACAAAACTTTCTGCTTGCCCATTCGACTGCGGGTAGTATGGTGGCGAGCGTAAGTGCTTTATGGCGAGTCGTTGACAGAATGACTGGAATTGGCTGGAGGTGAACTGTGAACCATTGTCAGATACAATGGCATCTGGTATACCATTTCGGGAGAAAATTTCTGTGAGGATCTGTAATGTTTTAGTCGTCGTTGGCGATATAATAGGGTTAATTTCAGGCCATTTCAAAAGGGCGTCGACTACAACTAGATACATTGTTCCGTTAATTGGGCCTGCAAAGTCGACGTGTATGCTGGACCAAGGATGATCAGGTTGTGGCCATGAAACTTATGGAACTTTGGCGTTCACTTTTGCTGCTTGCTGACACCGCATACATTTTCCAACCAATTCTGTTATATGTTGATCCATTAGCGGCCAATACGCATGACTCCTGACTATGGATTTCATTCGTCTAATCCCCGGATGACCAAGGTGGAACTGTTTCAGCACTTTTGCACGAAGAGATTCTGGCACAACCACTCTCTCTCCGAACATCAAGCAGTCGTTTACAATGCATAGAGAATCCCGCCGCTGATACAGCTGTTTTATATCACCATCAAACTTCTTAGACGGCCAACCGTTGGTGACATAGCTTATAGTCCTCTTGATGATGGGGTCGCTCTGAGAAGCATTTTGTATGTCCGTTGCAGATACCGGCAAAGTTCGTATTGCGGTCGTCAGATAACATTCGGCATGGTCTTCCGCTAGCAGAGATTCGATTACCGTGTTTTCCTCAGGCGCCAACTGGTCACTAATGAGTCGTGATAAGGCATCCCCCTGACCGAATTGCTGAGTGTGTCGGTACTGGATGTCGAAATCATACCCCAAGAGTGCTAAGGCCCATCTCTGAAGACGATTTGCAGAATGAGCTGGAATGCCAGATTTCGACCCGAATATTGCGAGTAAAGGCTTGTGATCTGTGAGAAGCGTGAATCTCCGACCGTACAGGAACTTGTGGAAACGGCGCACAGCAAGCGCAAGCGCTTCTTTTTCTATCTGACTGTATTTTCTTTCTGCTGGGGTTAGTGTGCGGGCTGCATGCATAACAGCTTTTTCCGACGCATCCGGAAACTGATGGGAGATGACAGCGCCTACTGCACCGTCGCCAGTTTGTTATGGTTCGTTATTCTTGAAGGCTATTACTGATTCGTCTTACTCGAACGGAACGAAGGATCAATGGTTCAGCGACTTGATAGCTATTCCGGTTCGTTGTCCCCGACCCTGCTAACTCGAGCATTAATCAATGAGTTCATTAACTGACCGCTATTTAACATTTAATCGATAGGTTCATCAACTCACTGCCATTCGAACATTTTATCGATAAGTTCATCAATTGACACCAATACGAATATTTCAACATTTAATCGATAATATAAAGTTTAAAAATATGAGTTTGGGGATTTATCGTCCCCAACTCTGTACTTGTTTTGCGGTTGTGCAAATAAAACCAAATATTCCAGTTAACGTTTTTTTATATATTCAGTATACATGTTTGTTTCAAAATTATTGTTGTAAATTCAAAGAACCTACAATTTTTAATTAGCTGAACACTCGGGATACACATCCTCTGGAATTATTTTACTCTTAAAATTTTCACACACGAATTTAACAACAACAAAGTTTGGAGTCTTGGAAATCAATAAAAAATGAATCTTCCTTGTATGATTTGCCAGCTGAAAGGACCATTGACTTCCCACATTAACTACACGAGCAACTCATTCTTATGGTTGGTAGACCATCTTGTCCCTAGATGTAACTCTTTAAACAAACGAACATTGAACGAAAGACTTAGATTCACTGCCATTGGCTTGCCTAAACTACTAAATAACCGGTATTTTTTGAAACACATCTTCATGCTGGTGTTATCGATTACTGTAGGTCTATTGTAATTCTGGAAACATGTTACACATTAATAGCATTTAATTTGTAACAGCTGTCTCGAATTGTAAAGTGATTTTTTAATATCATATGGCCAGTTAAGTGTTATGAGACAAAACCGCCAATCGGAACACTGACCTATATGAGCTTTTCCTTATGCTAAACCATTGATGCGTTAACCAGTACCAGCAACCTTGAGTCACCTGAGTCCGTATTGGTTTTCTGTATCGCAACTTCTCATGTAGTCCAACCCGTTCAGTGTAAGACACAAACAGCCTCCGCTGCATAAATTGCGTGTTTCAAACATAATTGGTTTATATACAAGCAGACAGGGCCTGCATCACACCATAAAATGAGAAATGATAATTATACTTCATTAAGACGCAAGTGGTTGTGTGTATGAGAGACTGTAGCTAATAAATTAGGAATAAATTAAGAATGGTAAGTCGAATAACCTTAGACAATGGGTCAAATAAAAGTTGATAATAGAAGGAATATGAATATATATATAATCTAGTAAATGATTATCTATTAAGAATATATGTAATAATAGTCCCTAGCAGTTATCATTCATTTATTATTTCGGATGTAACAATTTTCGTGGAATATTAATTGTTTTACAAAACCTACCGTTTAAAATCTGACACCCACTAACCTCTCTAGAAATGATATCAGCCTCACTGTTCAAAGTACTTTGAGATAGCTTAAATTGTAACACAGTTTACGATTTTCTCCTCAACTCGGAGAATAAATTCCTGTAATGGTCTGAAACGAGGGTTCCCATTGAGCATTTAGAACTACCTTTCTGAATTGTAGGATAGAGGAAAGTACTGAGGGCATGAAGTAAATCGAATCAATGTTACACTATTAAGATCTCGTTTCCGTTGGGTGCGTGACACATTTTTTTGTTGCCAGTATGGGTCATTTTATTAGCTGTAAGTGATTAATTATTCCAATAAAATTCCGTTAGCTTTGATTACATGTTGAAATATTGACATTTTGCATTTGAGATGCATTTCAACAAACGATCGTCTAGTTCGGTTTAGTCATTTACAACGATAGTGTTTAAGCAACTATAGGTGAATACGATAAATCACGTTGAGTTGATTTCTATGAGGAGTTACAATATTCATAATCTGTCTCTAATACCAAAACCTTATGAGACCCGTTATGAGTGACACAGGTTGAGTTTACGATAAATGCAAAAAATAAATAAGATATATCAATGAGTTTTAATAGTGAGAATCTAACCCAGCTAATAAACATGAAGATATCATATTAAGTAGGTAGTGCTTACCTATAATCAAAATTATGCTGAAGTAATTTATGTTATGTGTAATGATTTTCAAATTGTCCTTTCAAGAAGAAATTTGATAACGAGTATGTATAAATGGAAGGATCAGAGATATTATCCGAATAGAAGTAGAACAAATAGGTAACTTTTCCCAACTGTTGCACTGGTTAAATGCAAACCGTGCTTAAAATTATCAAGAGCTCGGTGATTACAAACTGCATTATTTGGTACTGATTTTAAATTTCTTGAATCTTGCCTTCATGATTTCCGTTTCACATCTAGAATATTCATACAGGCAACTTAATAATTATCCATATGAATAACTTTTTAATTCTTCTTTTATTACTCTACACTCATGTTAACGTTAACATTAATCAATACTTCTTTGATCTAACATGTTT